CTCCCTCTTCTTCCTGTCGCCATCTCCCCTACCAGGGCGTCAATATACTACAAATCTCCACTGGTGCACTGGAGTACTCACGAAGCGAGGAATTGACGAGTGCTCAGCTTATCAGCTTCCATGAGAAGGGCCCAAAGCTTGGTCGTTTCCGGTCCCTTTTCATCATTCTCATCGACGGCTTTCTTGAACTTCTCCGCAGCCACTTTGATGAAGTCCTCCAAAGCCTCACTGACTAGGTCTGAAGGGTTCACTTTGAGTAGGCTGTGTTATTGTTAGTGACCTGCCGGGGATGGAAGGAAGTAGACGTACTGAACGGGGATCTTGGCTTTATCAGGAAGACCCTCGTTGATCTTGAATGGATCATCCGCTTCGGCTGTCCAGACGTTTCCGACACTAGAAACATCGTTGAAGTACGTGGGGCAGACATTGTCCTCATCTCCAATGTAGTATGGGATCAAGCCGCCTTTTCCAGGCCTGAGGCCGATGTAGTTGAACAGCTGAAAGGTCCTGCAACATGTGAGTAATTGCAATACTAACGATCTCTCGGGTACTTACCTCTTCATGATGGTGTTGTTGGGGAATCGCATAGCTCCAACATCATAGTAATCATGCTCACCATACGAAAACCGATGCGTGTACAATCTTCCACCCAACCTGTTCATCTTCGCAGCCTCCATAATGTCATATTCAATCTTCAATCCCTCCTTTTCACACTGCTCATTCAGCCAATCGAACACCATCGCCGTGAAAAGGCCAGCAACACCAGCACCGATGATTCCAATCTCAAGATGGTTGGACTTTCTGGGGACGAATCCAACACCAGTGAGCTTCTGGGTCTTGTCCAGGATCTTACTGACACCTTCATCTTCATGAACTTTCTTTGGGAAAAGCTCAGGATGCTCTTGTTGAGCTTGGATCACGCGCTTGGCTGCGGCTTGGACATCGTCTTCGAAGCCTTTTTGGGCGACGTGTCGTGCCCACATGTGCTTGAAGGCACGGGTATGGAGGTGGTGTTCTTCAGCTGGGAGGGACATGATGAAGACAATTTATATATATTTGTCTGCTTCAATTGAATGAGACTGGCTTTCTCGCTGGGAACGTGCGCTCTATTTATGCAGGGCCTCTGGCTAGTGACTCTGGCCATGGAGGTTCCCATCCGGAAAGCTCCATCACAACACCAACAAAGTGGCTAGCTGAGCCAAGCAATGCGAAAGCAAACGATGAATCGACTGCATTATAGCAAACCCCGCTCCAATTGATACTTTCATCAAATACCGCGATGAGCTTTCCCCGCAGATGACTACGCGTTTTCTCACCGATGAAACTATCGATGCAGCCCATCCAAAGCCTAGAACACCAGATCTCACGGGCCGTAGCCGTTCCTAGCGGCATCAATACGAAGCAAACGGCCCTTCAGCTCTCGGAATAATTGGGTGCTGTCCAAATGTGGCTGGCCGGCATGAGACTATTGGCGACTAACGACTAATACGGCCATTGTGTCTTATATTGGGGTTAGTGATGATGATGCTTCGTCTCAAGCGCATTAGACTGCTGAGGCTGAGAATGGAGGGGGATGCCGGTTTTGTTGAAACGTACAGATATCGAGACGCCCGTGGCTTTTACGGGAATATGTGATTGTTGAGAATTTTGAAGTATGGTCAGCAATGACATAGCTTTTGCATATTGGAATGGTTTTCAGTTCACCGCACTTTCAGCTCGGCATATCGATGATGATAGAGGCTTATATATTGCTTGCGGCTGAAGCTTCGGACACACAGAAACGTAACAACATCGCTGGCACAAACACCATATTTAGTTATACACCAATGGCGTCAATCACATTCCGAAACATGCATTTTCATTACTTCAACTACCTACGCCTAAATCCTCTAGCTCCTAGTCGCCAAGCGGATATGCATGAAGAACCTGTCCATGAAACAAAGTCGCATCCTTCGAAGCCAAGAATACATAACTCGGCGCAATCTCACTTGGCTGTCCCACCCTTCCCAACTGCGAATTCTTGCCGAATCCCTCCATCTGCTCCGCCGGTCGAGAAGCAGGCTGCAGAGGTGTATGCACAGGCCCTGGAGCTACGGCATTGACTCTAATGCCCTTCTTGACGAGTTGCTTTGACAGCGATTGTGTGAAGGAAGTGATGGCGCCCTTTGTGGATGCGTAGTCTACCATATGCGCTGTTCCTCTGAACGCAACGGTAGATGTTGAGTTGATGATACTACCCCGTTAGCCAGGTTCACAAAATGGGGTGTAGACTCACGAGCCACCCTTTTCCATATGATGAAGCGCATACTTCGTCATAGCAAAGATCTGGAGGATGTTACTCCGGAAAGTACTCTCGACATCATCTAGATCAATGTCCTTGAAGTCCTCACACATGAACTGCTTCCCAGCATTATTCACCAGGACATCGATCTTGCCATACTCATCAACGTGCTTCTGAACTGCGTTCTTGCAAGTCTCGTTGTCCATGAGGTCTCCAGCGAAGAGAAGACATTTTTGGCCTTCTCTCTCGACCATGCGCTTGGTCTCTTCGGCGTCTTCTTGTTCTTCTGGGAGGTAGACGATTGTTACGTCTGCGCCTTCGCGGGCGAAGAGGACTGCTACCGAGCGGCCAATGCCAGAGCTATAGGGATCAGTGATGGGCTGTTATGCCAGGGACGAAATGTCTGCTTACTCTCCGCCTGTGATGAGAGCCTTGGCACCCTCGAGCTTGTTGGCGGCTCTGTACTCGTGGAACTCATTCTTGCCTTCGAGTTTGGTCGACTCGCTTGTAGGGTTCATAGCCTTTTCAGTTCTGTGATCCGATGTTAGAAGTGCATCTGAGACAGGTCAAATGATCGCATGCGTACCCTGGAAGCTTCTGTGCCTGAGCCTCAGGAACAGGGTGGAATGAACCATCTTTTCCAGCTTGAGACATGTTGTTTAATTGTGGTCAGTCGGTAAATACAATTCTCCTATAGCAGATTTTCAGTAGATGTGAGTGAATGAAGAAATTGAAGTGATCATGACATGTTATTTATATATCTGAGCAATGATGTCAGTGTGCAGTGCATCCATCGAGATTGTCCTGCCCCATCGGCGGGTCACTCGGTGCATCATGATGGCATCACGATTTAGACGGGCCAATTGCTTGTCCAACCCTCAACGAACCTACACGTAAATTAACAAATCCTCCAAAAGCAAACAATCTTAAGGCCTGTAATTAACCACTGATCCAAATGTATCGGATTGTCCCCAAATTCCCTCCCTCAAACACGACAACTGCACAATTTGCGAATGATCCACAGACAGATTAACGTCAGTCCCAAACTCTCTAACATACCAATTAAACACCTTTGGATCCGCCGCCTCAAACATGACTTTCTCTTGTGGTAACTCTCTCAAAATCTGCTGAATCACATCCGTCCTCCAACTCTTGACATTTTCTGTGATACCCTCGCTCTCGATCATGATCCGCTCTACGCCAGCGTCGATGAAGCGCTTCCCCATGTGGATTATCTTTGAGGGATCGGATGTTCCTAGGGATGAAAGCTCAGATGCTTCTGTGTCGCCGCCAGCGCCGAATTGAATGCCGCATTCGGGTTTGGCGATTAGACCAGCCGAGTGCACTTTATCGACGATGCGGAGCCAGTCGTCTTGGGGGATAGAGAGGAAGCCAGATGAGATTTCGATCACGTCGAAGCCGAGTTGTTTGCACTTTTCGAGGAATTGGTCTACGGCCCAGACGGGATCAGATTGAAGAAGGACGTGCTCCATCCATCCGCCCTGATATTGTGGTCAGTAAGGCTTTGAGTACACAGGGTTTCACTAGGACGTACAGTAGAGACGTAGAAGTTGTACTCGTGAGCGAGGTTGATGAGCTCTTTGAGCTTGTCCTCTGGGAACAGGGAAAAGGAACCACCAGCGAACTTGAGTCCATCGACATGATGGTCCATCCTAAGTCTGTCAGTACTTTATATCTTACATGAGCAGGTAAACTCACGTTTCAAGGACATCATGTAGGTATCGTTTTCCCATCACTGAGTAATATGGCCCCCGAATCTCAGTCACTCCGGCAGACCGAGGTTTCGGTGGACGCTTGTTGTGGCGGATAAACCCGAAACCTTTGTCTTTATCTTCCAACAGAATCGGAGGAGTCCCAAGTCGAGGGGATACTGAAAAGGGCCTGATAGCGGCCTTGGGAGTTGCGGTCGAGGCTCGCCATTCTGGACGGGCGACTCTGAGTAAGTTAACATGCGACATTATAGTAGTTATGACGACGATTCTGCTAGTCAGGTCTCTGACAATATTTTTCTTCTAGTATCTCAAGCTTGCGCAACATGGCCTCCGTGGTCTCTTAAACTATCACGTTGTAGCTTGATATCACTATGATGCACTCGTGAGTTGCTGAGACTGTAACATAAACTCCAGGTTTTGCGTCATAACATCTATTTACCGAGGGATTATCATGCAGAATATCACTGATGATACATGCACAATGTAGTGGATGATACATTGGTAGTGCCGTTGGTTCAGAAACCGGCCAGAAAACGACACCCCGTCCTAGACGGAGCCCCGGTCGCCGGATTTGTGGAGACCTTCCGGCCGTCGCCGCCGGAATGCGATACGGAACTCGTTTACCTTCTTGTGAAAGAGACACTATGCTACGAGTGTGTAAAGACCTAGTCCATGCTATCTGACTGTTCTTCGGTCTCTTTTTTACGCTGCGTCATAACCAACAGATAGCTTGAAACCTCGACGACTGACGCGATGAGACGAGACCAAGTCTTGAAGAACAACCTGGCGCTCTATCCAACGTGGCAGGAGGACAATAACCTCAGCATCCAAAACCGAATCTCTTACAGCTAATTATTCGGTGAAATCCCACTAGCGATGGACGAGGAAGTTTTACTGTGCCTAGGGTCAATCACCCCAGTCGGGGCAGTCAGCCAAGTTGGCGAACATATACCCAAAAAGCACCCTAGCGTTCAATAACTTATCTAGCCCTCTTGGCCAAGTGGTAAGGCGTCGCACTCGTAATGCGAAGATCACTGGTTCGATTCCAGTACGGGGCAAAACAATTTATTACTTTTGCGTATCATCACAACTTGCATTATAATCTTTTTGCAATGACTCCTCGTCGTCGGAATAGAAACTTGCCTTTTTGGGGAGAATTTCCTTTTTTTTTTTTTTGGATGTGCAAGACGGGACGGGACGAGAGGAGAGCGCAGACCTTACCGTGACTTCGGGTGATTGCATAACGGAGTGAGAAGAGTGATTCTCATGGGATTGTGCTCGGTTCCGCCAATTGACTTTGAGAGAGATTTCCGTGGTCTTGGCATATTCAGTCAAGACATCACATCGAAGCACATGCAAGTTGAATTGAACAAAGAAACAAATGCGCATTGGTATCCATCGTTATGCTATAACCCATCATCCATGACCCAATAATGCTGTCCAACCAACACCTCCATATATCAACGCCCAAATCATCATACAAAAGAAATCCATCGTAAGTAGTATCCCTATTCCTAGACTCCATGCTTCATATCTTCATTAATCCTCTACATCCGCCGCACACCCCTCATCCTCAACCCTCTGCTGCTGCTTCTTCCTCTTCTCCATCGCCTTGCGCAGTTTAATAGCAGTCTGTATATCAACCTTTGCATCATCCGCTTCAGTAAGACCATACTGATCCCACCCTATTTCATGAAGATCAATGCCCAAGTCTGCGAGGGACACAAAACCTGGTGCGACGGGTGTGTCGCTCTCCCAGAATGAATCGGAGTCTGGGTCTTCGGAGGTAGAGACTTGGCGCGTTCGACGGGGTGTTGTTGTACGGCTGCGGGATCGGCGAGTGCGGCGGGGGGTGGATTTGTTGCTTCGTGTGTGCGGTCGTTGAGGACTCTTTGGACTTTTTGGTGTTTTGGGGCGTTTGGAGACTGGTTCAGAGGGGATCATGGGAATTGGAGGAGGTGAGGCGGGAGCTTTGAGGATGGGGAGGGGTTCGTATATCCCTGGGAGACCATCGCCCGACATGCCGTAGCTGTCCTTCATTAGAAGACCTTCGCCATCACGACGCTTCTCTTTCCATGCGACGAAGGAGTCTACTGAGTCTTCACTTGCATCGGAGAGGTACAAATCCATGTCGTGCCTGGCTGTCATAGGGTGACCGAGATGTTGTTCGATATCCATCCGTGATGGAACAAGCGTCTCGGTAGAATAGTCATCCCCAGGTGAGTTTTGCCGCGTATTCTGGTTAACTGCAGCACTCTGCTCATGCTCAGGTCGCATCTTGATCGAAGGTGGCAGAGATGCATCGATAGATGTGCTTGGCGTATGATGGCCAATGGGGTATTGGATGCTCGAGAAACCAGAAGACTGTGTTGTAGGTGTGATGTTTGCTTGTGAATTGACGTTTAGAGAAGATGTCCGCACAGGAATGTGTTCGTTGATATCATCCAGACGTTGATTTCGTAAAGCAACGCTGGCCATTGTGCGGGATCGAGGAAATGGTTTGTCGATTGATGAAGAGCTCGAGGGACGCGATGGTTGTGACAGTTCGCTTCGTGGATAAGATGAAAGAGTTGGTCCTCCGTGATATGACTCTGGACGAGGATGATGGACATCGTTTCGATCATATCGGTAATTTGGTTCAAGATATGCACTTGCTCGCTTGTCTGGTCTGAATTGCGCTGGAATGATTGGGCACGGCGCAGGTTCATCAAACGCCCCATCAACGGTATCAATCTCAACACGGCCAAAACTCCTTCCTCGACCTCGACCTCGACCTTCACTTGTCTTTGGTCGAGATCTTTGAACTGGCGGTGGTGAAGATGAAGTTTCGTATGTTAAACCACCGGACAGTGAAGGATGTAGACTCATAGGCCTAGGCTTGCGAGGTTGAGGTTCGGGTTCTGATGGAGAAGCAAATGCGTTGAACGACCTTCTTCGATCCCGCATCGATAATGTTCCTGGATTGAGATTCGACTGCGACTCTCGTCGATTTGACTTCCCTGATCTTAGCAGATCGTTACCGATTGATCCAGAAAATGATCTCCATGCTGATGAACTTGAAGGCCTTGACCAAGCCTCCCGTATCGTCCCCAAATCACCATGCGGAACACCCGGCGCCGGCGCAGAATCATCCTCATCTTCTTCATACTCAAACGATTGCAACTCCCGTCCACCAGAAAGTCGATAGAAGGCCTTCGCAGCAGCGCTATTAAGGTCCACGCCATTCTCGCCAATATTCCTCTCCGCAACGTCCTCCCCATACTCCCTCGCCCCCGAAGCAGCCACCCGCGATCGAAAATTCGAGGGCCTAAATTCTCCCTGCGCATCGAGAATGTCTATAAATGAATTTCGCTTATCATGCGCTGAATCTGTTGAGCTCTCGCGTCGATGGTGTGTGGGAATTGAAGGTACGGGTGGTGGTCGTTCGCGACCTCGTGTTGGTCGCTCTGGAACGCTCCATGCTGAATTGGAGCTTCGGATACTGCGTGAGAGGGAGAGTGGGCGGGAGGAGAGACTGTTGGCTTGGTTTGGTGCTGTTGTTGGGCGGGAGGGAGATGGGCCTCTGAATCGGGGTACCATGGGAGGTGGCGCGGCTGGATCTTGTGATACCGTTGATAATTGGGCTTGGCTGCGTTTTCTGGCTGCTCGTTGCAGCTGATCCAATACGTTTGGTCCATTTCCAGCGACTGGGTATGTTCCTGATATTGTTAGACAGGAGAACCCGGGATATCGATTGTGGTGTTTACCTTGAATTGGTGGGATCGAAGCTACAGTCGAATTGTACGCTTGACCCTTGAGTGAAGCCCTGTTCCCATTCTTTCGCGCAAAGATATTGCTAAAGAAGCCCATGATGTTCGCCTTACCCTGCCATGCGGCAGGTCGGCATCAAAGAAAATATTCGCGATATTTTGAGAACTCCAAGTGAAAGGGACACCTCAGCACTTTTTAAAGATGAGATCTTCGCATTCCGATCTGAAATGAAAAAGAGTACGCACAATCGGAGCGCAAGAGAAAAAGGAAAACCAAGCGCTTAAGTACCGTATCAAAAACACACAAGGGAAAACGTGAGACTAGTGCAAGCCCAGTGAATTGGAACCTGTCTTTTTTCAGTGTCCTGTGGCTTTAAAGTTTAGGAGGTGGTGGTGGGAGGTCTGGTCTTTTGTTTTATTCCTCACTGTTTGGTTTGAGAAGCTTCTTTGGAAGAAAGGTACAGACATGATCCTTGGCCTAAAACAGACAAGACGCTTGGTTTGGGGGGACAGGGGTGGATGACGCCAACGAACGAGAGGAAGGGATCCGTGCAACCATGTTTGGAGTGGAGGGTGCTAGCGGAGAGTGACAGGCCACGATGGATCTCGGGGGTTGAAAGAGTGAGGGGGATGATGGGATGATGGGATGTTGTGTCTTGGTCATGAATGAAGAGAATACCTTGACGTGGAATTGTCTCTGCACTAACTCAGACATCTCATATCTAAGTTGAGACATCTTCACTTCTTTACAGAGTAGATCGTCGACGGGAGAGTGGCCGATTAACCCCCAGGATCACACTCAGGTCAGGGGGCGTCTGACTTGCATCACCCCTGAACCTGAGCCGAACTCTGTATCCCTGGAACAGCCTGGACCGATATGGACGGATGCAGGGACCACTATTCTTCCCACTCAGGGGCTTCAGAAGTGTCACGGAAAATATCATCAACAAATGAGATCTAAACATGATGAACAGTTCAGAAAGAGTGCTTGTTTAACTGCCATCTGGGGTTTAACCGACTGACGCCATCAAAAACGGCGTGGCGATGGCTCCGAATTAAGCAGTGATGGACCCAAAAGAACGAGAAGATGTATGCTTACCTGATACACAGCCTGGAGCACCAATCGAGTCATGCCTCTGTAGAGCTGTATAATCGATCAAAAGGAGATATCCGGTGAGGATAGGCGAACTTACAGATCCAACGCGAATAATTGCGCTGTAGTATCGCATTGTCCGAGACAGAATGTCGGCATCCGAGTCATTGGGTCGATTATCACAATAGCCTTGTCCATGTTGCAGTGGGAGTATAATACGGTTACATTCTACGGACACGGGGACGGGCCGCTGCTGATTTTTGAGTTTGATGATGCTCGCGAGTTAAATTGCCGTCTTCTTTGTGTATGCGTTGTGTTTGTGTTTGTATTAAATACTACCTTTGTGTTCTGGTCACTATAGCTTTGTGTTATGGAGACTGAGTCCTTGTCGTACGGATACGGACGGAGAAATTGACGGATTATTCATGGTGAGGTCACATTGTACAAGAAGATCTCAATCATTGACTTGTTAGTACCCTTAGTACGAGTCCGGTTCCGCGCGTCGGGGCCAATCTGTGATCTTTTTATCTCTGTGCACACGGGACAAACCCTTGATCAGCGAGCTCAAAAGTGTCATAAATCTCACCAGTTGTTTACAACATGTGATGGTGTCATTGATGTTTATATCGTTTCAATTATGTTTCTATAAGCCTGGGTTACTATAACAGAAGGGTTACATATCATTTTGCTTTTTCTGAAATTGACCCATGTAACTCTAGATCGTTTCGGATCTGTTTCTCGCGTTGAGGTGACACAATCAAACTAGCAACAGACTAAATGTGGCAGCGCTGATCAAGAGACTAGGAAAATATTAGGAGAATGGGATCTGCAGTCAAGGCTGATGATTGTAAGTGTCTTTAATGGGATTGGAGGGACTAAAATGCGATTAAATGAAGGTGAGATAAGGCCTTTGCTGTTTGGTGATGGTTACCCTATAACTGTGCAAGAAACTCGGTGTGCTCTTCTATGACGTTCTATAATGCCTGATATTATAGCTGAGAGCTGTTTTGATAAGAATTACTTCTTTTATTGACCCTGAAACTGTTTGTATGGGGGCTTTGTGCATAACTCAAACAATAGCGCAATCACTGTAGCTGTGATGTTTGTATGCCGAGGATGCCATACAGGCTGTAAGGCTAGTGAAGTGTTTAGGCGACGTCATCAGTAAAGCCACCCCGCCAACCTAACGTGGGGCATTTCTTCCCTCCATCATCAG